CACTTTGAATCAAGGTAGTCAGTATCATGAATCCTGCGATTCGCTGCGCACATTTTCCAGTCGTTTCATACTCTCGCTATCGTTATCCATTGACGTGGTCTGCCCGTATAGTTTTGAGTGCGGCATTGATTATTTATTTGTTTTCATATCCGGAGTTGTTTGCTGGAAGAGAGGAAAGGAGTAGATTATAATAACGAATCATTTCTTGCACAGGATTACAAGACTTTTAAGAAATTTGTTAAGATAACATATACGAGCTCTCTATCGGCCAAATTGTCTTTATTTTTCAGTTATTCTATTTTAATCGTGTTGTACGCTACATCTCCCGCATACAAATAGTGATCGTAAGCATATCACTTGTCATATTGGAAGTGAGGAACTCGGTTGATATAGCCACATCGCTTGAGTCTCTTGAACTACTTGTCTTATTTGATTTACATTTTTGTTTCGACAACCGTTGCTTACGTCAGCCGTTTTCGTGCATAAAAGTGAGCTGCAAGGTCCTTCTCAATGATTCTTACTCCTCTCAGTCGACAAAATGACATAGTCAGTATCTATTTTGAAAATTGCCAGAAATGACCTCTTTGGTTGAGCACCGGCCGCCAGTCGATGTCGTCCTTCAAACGGCCATGGCCCTGTTTGATTACGCATCTGTTGCTCCACTCGTTGCTGCGCAGCTGCGTAAAGCTACCACTACAGAGGTCATTTAATTCTCAAAAGCTGCTAACGAATATTTCTTCTAATGGAGGCGATCTCAAGGGTTCAGTACTGTGCTACCGAATTAGTTCTAGAAGTGAACTGGAACTCCTACAAGTTTTCTATCAGCAACCTTGGAATTTTACTTCAAACATATACGATGCATCTATCACCATGTGCTATCAATGTAGGACCGTCATAGACTGAGAATTATAAGAATTTCCTTTATGGCAAATAATCTAGTTAATCTATTGATTCACAATTCAGCTGTTCTACTTTTTTTATATTTGCACTTTTGTGTCCAGGGCCAGTTTTCCTACACGTTCTTCTTCACTTATACGGAACTTGAAGCGACCCCTTCTTAATCCTCCCATTCATTTGCCACTCCATAGTTCTACATACCAATTCAAAAGTTCTAAATGTGCACTTAAATATACATGATATCATCTGTGTGCTTAAAAATCTAGAGAATTTCAGAGGTGTTCCTCAGAGTTCAGAAACCTAAATGGTGCGAGGTTTACGTAGGCGCAACAAAATTTTTCGCTCTTTACCCTTCTCATTCCTATTCACTTCAGGGGAAGATTTCCTTTGAATCTTTTACAGCACTGTCTGTTCTTTTGATGGAACTCTCCTCTTAGAAACGTTGCTTAAAGCTTTCTTCCACAGAATTCTTCTTAGGAATTTGATTTACCGAAGAGCTTTTTACACTGCACTTTAGGTGTAAAGGGTTCTTTAAAAGAACTGTGCAGAACAAGCGCTTATATTCTTGCGTCGGTACTGGTGGAGGCTGTCCGATGACGAAGGAGCACAGAAATAGGTTTGCTCACGTTCTTTTCCTCTGCTTGAAAAATTCGAATGGTTCAGTCAGGGGTGTTGAAGTTCATCTCTGTATAATTTTTAACAGAGAAGACTGTTGTTCCATCTTCATCATATCTGCAAAGTGTTTTTTTTTTTGTTAAAGAAGAAAATTTCGATTAGGGCATAGTTTAGGAGCATATCACATAGCTGCAATAATTCAACATTATTTTTTTGTAACGAGTACCCTTATAACTTCAATGAAACTAAAATGTTTGCAAAAGTTCGTACCACAGGTGTCTGCGGTGGGGAACCAACGCGCTATTATCCTTTCCGGAGAATAACGCGTTCACCACCACATCGGGTCCGTCGTTTCGCCTGCCTCTCAGCTAGTTCTAACCATCAGCGCTATCAGCAGTCACCCGTAAACGGCATTGATCTAGAGAACCCAAATCGGCAACGAGCCCAGTTAAGCTGAGGCTGTAGTCGAAATCACAGTGCTGACTTTTTATTACTGCCTATTATAATTTTCATAACGGGGTAATGCTTGTGAAACTACTACAATGATGCTGAGATATTCGGAAAGTTCCAGACCGCAGGTGTTTGCGGTGGAACGGACGCGCTATTGTCCTTTCCGAGGAGTAACGCGTTCACCACCACACCATGTGGGTCATTCGCTTCGTCTGTCTCTCGGCTAGTTCTATCGATTTCTGCCATCAGCAATAACCTATTAGCGGGATTGAAATTACTAGGCAGTAAATAATAAGTTAAAAAGTACCCTTATACTTAATGGCTGACATTTAACGTGGGAGAGCTCTACTTTTATGTCTGCAAACATAGTCAAAATTGTGCATTTTTCCAATTATATGCCTGGATAATACAATTTGATAGTGGGAAACATTTTGACCTTCGGTACCGCAGGTGTGTTGGAGAGTCTGTTCACGATCACAATCATGCTTGCCATTAAAGTGCAGTGCTATTGTTTATCACACAGTTTATGACTTTTTAATGTTTTTTTGTTCAATCACAATACAAACTGGGAAATTTTCATTATATGATGGGTGGCAGTAACTGCTGCAGTGGGGTGGGGGGCGTGCAGTGCAGTGGTTTGGGGCGCGCTGGAATGCACATGGGCTCTCTTGCACCCAGTTCTACCATGCTTCCACCTTTTTGTGGCTGCTAAATTGGTACAGTAGTTGTCTGGGAGGATAGCAGCGCGGACTCAATACATCGGAAGGTCACAGCGAGTCGCCGTAAAGGCCAGATATGCATTCAATCACCTCTGCTTGATGAAGTCGAATATATTGCGCATCCCTCAGAGATTGATCAACGCCGAGCTTTTATCTAGTGGAGTTGTTTCATTTGTTCGTTTGGACAACTTATCGTAAGGGTCTCATAGCCTCATGTTGTGCGTTTCCTTCCATGTTGTCAAGTGGTTTCTGTTTGTGAGCCACGCATTTCGTACTATTACGCAGTGCCGAGCGCTGCATCGAGATCTGTTGGCCTGAAATATACAACACTGAAAAGCAATAAAACTACAAGAAAATTACCGTGCGCCATCATAGAAAACCTCTAAGTTTGGTTATTCGATTTAGTTTGTAGAGGCAGAAGAAGACTGCCAGAAACGAACAAAGAAGGATTGCGTTATTCACACATGAATGTTCATAATTCATCTTCCAACCATGAGGTTTTATTGTAGGCTTAAAAGAAGTATAGGAATTAAAAATATTGCACAACACTATGTATTCCTTTAGATTGCCACGCGTATTGGTGAAAGCTAAATCACTGCTGAAGTAGAGACTCAACTTAATAGTTGCTTTTGCTTTTTGGAATCAAAAAGCAATTATGTGAACAGAATGAATAACAGCTGTAATGAACAACAGGGGCGCTTGTGGCGCAGTGGTTGGAGGCGCCACTGTGACATACACCTCAGCAAATTAGTACCGGACTTGCCTGGGAGGATAGCGACATTGGCTCGATACATTGGTATGCCACCGCGTAAAAGCCAGATATGCATTCAATCACCTCCAAAAATACTTAATGAAGCCGAATGCATGGCGCACCCTCAGCGAGTACATCGAGAGCTTTATCGCTTTTTTTTGTAATGAACAGCGAATAACAAGACCATAATTTATCGCTTACTTATGCTTCATTATTTTTCATACACGCTGTGAATAGAAGAAGCGTAGTCGTTTCTTTACTAAAAATGCGGTTGAGTCGCGAAATATCATAGCTTGTGCGATTAAAGTGCCCTTGATTAAGCTTGTGTATCAGAAACTCTGAGAAATCCAGAATGTGCAATTAAAACTGCCAAGTTTTCATAACATAATAAAAATTTGTTAATTGGACTCCGGCTCATGTATTTGATTGTTTTCATACGAATGGATTTGGTTAGTGTTTCAGGTGCCAATTTTGTCGATTTCAGAAGTGCCTTCAACAGGGAATGGTTTTAGAAGGTTTGTAGTACTTGTATTGTATTTATTGTCCACACGTTCTACTTTGTTACAACCATGTATATTATTTCGGCCATTCGCATTCCCTTCACACGGAGTGCTGTTGAGCCCTCTATTTTGTATTTTTTTTAATTTTTTAATATTTTGTGTCACTTTCTGATGCTAGTTTAGTAAACTATCCTTTCTACTTGTTTACGGTGCAAAGCACAGATCTCCCTAGCAACAAGACAATGTTGCATTTAATTTTGCCTCTTTAGATACTGCATTATATTAGCAATACTTTCTAATAAACTGCTCTTGCTCGTTCACGAATATACGAAGCATTTGCTGATTGGTGGTCTTTCCATGGCTCGGATTGCGGCTTTTTTAATAGTAGGATCCTGAATCTCTTTTCACTTTGAAAATTATATGTGGAAATTGTATAACCTTGGTCGCAAATTACGAACTAGCGCCTTATGCAGTATGCGGTACTAAAAACATTCCACGTCTTAAGAACTCTCCAGATCAGGTAGTTCCATATATACTTGTCATTCCATAGCCATTTTCTTAAGCGACTTCGTTGTTAGCCAACACGATACACTGAAACTCATCCACGAAACTTCAGTCAAGCCCTGAAAGCATTGCATGCGAAAAGTTAGGGTTGAAATACTGTTTGCCTCATCATTCAACAGCTTAATGGTCATATCTATTTCAATAATTCCTAACTCGAGATGCTGTTTTCATCAGGTGCTGTGAAATGTACCAATAATTGGTTGAAATTTCTATCGATTTCGATTTCGATTTCGATTTTCAGAGAGTTCGTAGGGAATCTTGAAATGCTTTTGGTTCCGAGCATCATATAGTGCTTTGTACTAGTGGATTTATTCTATAGGTTACCTTAAACACCGTGAACTACTCACAACACCGGAAGAAGTACTGGATTGGAAAACTGTAGGTAAAAAAGGGCTTTACTTTGGATATAAAAATTCCGCGACATATGGCGACGCAAAAAACTAGGTTGCTGGCCTCTTGCTGCTATTGACAGCAGCTGATGGCTGTGATTGACCCTTTGCTAAAAAGATTACGGAATGGTTAGGTGCAGATGGACTACTACCGGTCCGATATTAAAAACCAAAGAAGAAACAGAAACAAACATTGGTTATTTGAAGGAGACCACTTTTTTGCACGAAAATCTCTGATTCCATTTCTATCGTGGGTTTAACGAAGTAAGAACGAGTTCTACACACGTCTCACACGTTGCCTAGTGGCCCTCTCTTCGATGGATTAGATTCCTTTAATAATCTCATTGAGGTTCCAATAAGCAAGCCACCACTCAAATTCACCTTAAGGGGTACATCATTTCGAGGAGTCGAGAAGTTCATACATGGAGCAGTTTTATTTTTGTAAAGCGTGCATTGAGTTCAGCTGTATTTATTCCATTTCTACCAATAAAATTTGTATTATATTGAAAGGCAGTGCTTTGGAGTTGGTTGTACGTAATTGGACGAATTAGCTTCGTGTTCTGTCTCGGAATGTAAACTTCTTTCTAGCTAAACTGCATGACCTTAGTTTTTGTGTGGTTCATAATGGGACAATCAGCAGATCTTTTTAAGCTGTTCGCGAAGACCGAATGCCTGGTGGACGGAACGGAAGTGCCATTTACAGCCTCTATAGGGTGAGAACGTAGGCACAGGATCTCCGTGCTAGCGCAGGTGGCTTCGGTAATGATTGAGATTTAGTTGAGGTATCGAAAGGCTCGCCAGCGTGCAACAGTCTGTGAGAGCACAGCTTCTTGTGCGAGTACAACCGATGGAGCGGTGGGCCTGGTGGAGGGCAAGGAATACGAGGAATGTCCACAACCTAAAAACAAAAATCTTATACAGGTATGTGATTCTCACATAGCACACATCTTTTCATTGTTTTTTGCATGCCACTTCTGTAAGCACTGGTGAAGGTATAACTTTTTACAACAGTTCTTTTCTTTCTCCAATATAACAATTGCTTCATTTTTGTTCAGTAGTGAAGTATGTAAATCTGACTGTGATCTTCACTCGTCCCACGATCATTCTGTCTTACAAATACGTAACATGTATTTGCATTCGCTTACACACTATTCAGTAGGACGCTTATGAAAAAACACCGTAACTGAACTAAAAATACTGCAAGGCTGTAAGACTGAACCTACAGGACGTATTACAAAACTGTTTAGTTATACTCTGGGCATAAGTTGGGAGTTGGTAAAAGTTGCAAGAATTGCATGTGCCACTATTTTTTGTCCGACTGCTCCTATTCCACTGTGTCCGAAAAGCAGTTATATGGAGATTAAAAATCGAAACATTATATGGCTACAGTTTCTAATATGGAAAAGTTTGATATTTTTTTTGGTACGGAACCTTTTTAAACCAAATGAGGCATTAATCACGTTGATTTTCCTTGTTTATCGAAGAGTAGGAATCTCCACTATGCCCACAGGGTTATAGATGTGAGATAAAACCGATGGTGTGTAGTACTTACACCGACATGTTGATAAACTTAGGAAATGGGCTCTGTGGCTATGCTGCACTTAGGTGACCTACATTTGCATACATTGCATTATTGTTCGGAAATTAATGCGGGATTTTATTATATGCTCTTAAAGTGGTATCTCTCAGCGCAGAATAAACTTTTCTAATCGAGTGAAGAACATCTGGATTCTTTACATTTGCCATTTGAAGAAATTTCATTTATAGAGGTTGCATAAAACTTCGGAGTTCTGTAGGCGACGGAGTCGTTGAAGACGGTTTCGGTCTCGGCTTAGCTTCTGAAGCATTTCTCAAGCAGAAAGTTGTCGTGGTGGCTGAAAAAAATGGCAGACAACAGGCGAGAAGTCCACTATGGTGGATGAAGCAGTTTTGTAGCCCACCTAGCTCAATGTTTACAGAGTCGGCAGTCCCGCGTATGCTAGCGCGTTGTGGTTAAGAACGATGAACTAAATCATATGGCATTCATTTGATGAGCTTCTTCCACTTTTCGATTTTCTGTAAATATTCCAGAAAAGTTTGGATGGTCACACCGTATTCTTCTATACTTCTCCAACAGTTGTGCTCGTTTTTTTTCCACATTCCCTTCAATTCGTTGTCATCAATGACAGAAGGATTTCAGCGACTTTGTTGAATCTCAAGGGCAAAATAGCTGTGGTAAAATTTTTAAAAAGAAGATTGCATTTTTGTGTTCGCTAAGTCTTCTTTACCACCAGAGCTCATTAATGTACTGCGCTTCCTGCATACGAGGTTGAATTGGTGGAAGCAGATTTGTCTAAAACGTTGTTTTGACATCTGAAATCCCAGGCTTCAAAGTTTGTCAAAAGTGCGATTGATATTATAGCCAAATTGCACTGACGACAACACATAAAATAAGCTTTGAGTTGAAGTATAAGGATGCAACATTCGAAAGAACATCATTACTAGAGGAAGCGGCAGAAAAATAAAGTCGAGAACGGTGCATTAATTTCCAAACAGCCTAATCTACACTCGTACTAAAAGTGTACTAGTCTGTGTACTGCACAAATTGTATCCTCCACGTCGACTCAGTAAGGCGTGGCCTTTATAGTAAAAATAATTTATTTGCATATGATATGAAACCCCTCTTTTCCTTTGGCGCTCAATGGGAAGCTCGAGCACCCTCTAGGAGTTAATGGCTATAGCAGTTTCAATAAACATCTGTGATAATAAGATTAGTCAGAGCAAAATGGAAATAAGTTTCAGTAAAATTGTTTGTTCTTCTTCCAAAGAAAATTTTAAAGGATACTGAATTGACTACACAGTGAAAAGTGGCTAGTGTTAAAGACATAATTGTCTAGCCAACTAATAGTGTTTGGGTGTTGCAAAAGACAATATGAGGCATTTTAGGAACTTATCGAGATTGATCAAATTGATAAACTTATAAATCTACGCGGATTGAGGATTGCTCCACTAAGAGACAGTCGAGAAGAGCTTGCTCCTGCCTGTCAACGTCTGAGTCGTATAGGTGTGCCCCTAATCAGTACTTCCTCCATATTTCACAGTTCCATTATTGCAGTAACGAAGAAAAGTGCTTGTGGTAACCTCTGAGGTTAGAAACTAATTAAATGTGGATGGTAAATTTCGTATCATAGGAGACGAGATCGTTGAACAGTTAGTGGAGTGGACAAAAATGCTGCCATTCTATTGTGAATTGCCTGTGGAGATTCATACGCATCTTCTTACCCAACGTTGGGCCGAACTGGTAACAGAACAGCTGTTTTTTTTTTACAAAAGTCCTAGAAGTATTTTGTGGATTAGTACCGTTGTATTAATTTCTTGCACTATCACGCCAGTGCAAAATGAATATGAATATAATGAGGTTTGCTGTCATTACATTAGTGCTCCATTTTTTCATACCTTTGGTTTTGTAACGTACCTACAAGGGGTACTTTGCTATTTAAACTACACTTTTTCATTTTTGACTTTAAAGGTTTTGCTCTCTGCCTGTTTCTATTCATGCTCCACTTCAACATCATCAAATGACGAGACAGCTGTATCAACGACGACAATTGACGGGAACGAAGAGGTTGATGTTATACAATACCTCAGAGCGACTTTTGATTTTGACAGTTTAGGTGTCTTTTCTCGACCCTTCGATTAACATTCGTCTTCTGCAAAAACGTCTTTCGGCTGTTATGGGCAAGGCTATTCCTCTTGAACATGTAACAAAGTGAGAAGGAATCGTGTTATAGTAGAGTTATAGTCTAATACGCTTATTCATCAGCAACCACTAGAATCTGGTTGCCGAGAAAGTAATAAAAGCGTGAACAAATTCGATCGAACACCGAAAAAAAATTAGGGCAAAATAAAGTAGAAATTCCTCGCCTTCATTCGTTCTCCACTAAAAGTAGAGCGGTCAACTTTAAATCTCTGCAAGCATGAAGTTCTTTACCCGTTATTGACAACACTAAATACGTATGAGTGGTAAAACAGGCACAGAACCAAGTTTAAGCATCGTATTTGCATGAGAGGCTGAAGTATAAGTGCAGAGCGAAAGTGGTCTTCACTATTACCTCCACTGTGTCAATAGGAAATGAAACTTCAGTTGGTATGCTGGTTTCAAGCATCCAATATTTTGGATCCTGCTTGCTGCAAAACCGCACTTGCGTGAAGTCGTTGTGTAAACTTGATAAGCTGTGTTAACCTAAATATTTATAACTTATATCTTTCCACTTCTGTTCAGCAAACACGAAGTGCTATTTTATTTCTTTATTTACGCACAAGCTGACGTTTCGGCGGATCTCGCCTTCCTCAGAGCCTGGAGGGGTCAAGTTGACGGACATCCACTCGGCCAAACACCTCCATAACCAAACAGAGAAAACGCTAAACCAAGATTTCAATCACATTTAGCATAGCTCTGCACACTCACCGCTTTCTATGAGTCTTCCACTGAGTATGTAGCGTGAAGACCGACCGCACAGAATTTACATGGGAGGGGCACATTACGCTTCCATGTGAATTCTGTGCGGNGAGCCTGGAGGGGTCAAGTTGACGGACATCCACTCGGCCAAACACCTCCATAACCAAACAGAGAAAACGCTAAACCAAGATTTCAATCACATTTAGCATAGCTCTGCACACTCACCGCTTTCTATGAGTCTTCCACTGAGTATGTAGCGTGAAGACCGACCGCACAGAATTTACATGGGAGGGGCACATTACGCTTCCATGTGAATTCTGTGCGGTCGGTCTTCACGCTACATACTCAGTGGAAGACTCATAGAAAGCGGTGAGTGTGCAAAGCTATGCTAAATGTGATTGAAATCTTGGTTTAGCGTTTTCTCTGTTTGGTTATGGAGGTGTTTGGCCGAGTGGATGCCCGTCAACGTGACCCTTCCAGGCTCTGAGGAAGGCGAGATCCGCCGAAACGTCAGCTTGTGCGTAAATAAAGAAATAAAATAGCACCTCGTGTTTGCTGAACAGAAGTAGAAAGATATATTCAATCAATGCCGAGGTTAATAGAAAGTCGGACTTGGGATTTATAGCTTAGTTTCCCATATACATATTCGGATTACTTTTCATTACTGCATTCACAGAGAAGCCGGCCCTCTCGTTGAGAAATTCACCGCGTTACTTCACTCGTTTTCAAAAATGAGAATTACAACTGAAGCATACGTTTGTATTAAAGCCATAACTCTCCTTCACTACACTACCACTTCTGGTTTGTTATACTTTTCGTGTTATTCTTTTTTTACCACTAATATTTTCACAGTAGGAATATTCAGAGGGAACGGATAACAACAATGTGGAGAAGTCTCCATTCGTTCGAAAGGTCACTCTCATTCAAGATCAGTTCGTAAAGGCGCTGCAGGTTCATCTCATTCAGAACGAAGAAGGAACTCGACTAAGCGATATTCTGACCTGGTAAGCAGTGTTCTTATTACCCAGTGAGCAAGTGAGTGAACACATTCAGTGATTGCTCGGCTGCATTATATTACAAATGAACGATAGAGAATCAGTAGGATTCTAGTGTTTCTAATCTGTAATTGTAAATTGAAGCTGTTTAATTAGTGCTTAATTTCAGGCTTCCTATGCTCCACAATGCTTCCTCAGTTCTACTTCATTCGAAAATGTTCTACGTGCCTTTTCTGATTTGCAAAAATCCTCATCGATTCGCCGGTCAAGATGATTATCCCGAATCGAATTAACGGCTACGATTTAGGACGTTCTCATTTCTCATTAACCAAGATTCGTTAATTCGCATACTGGCTTTAGTGACGACACAAGTCAAAATGTGTTATCTACTACTTATTCATTAGTGAGTGGGGAAGTAGAAGTGTCATAGGTCGGTAAGCAGAAAAAAAACCAATGAAGCACAAATTATGTTTAGAAGCACTCGTATGGGGGATTGTAATACGGTTCAAGTTGAAATGAACCTACTTTTGAGAAATCTAAAGCTTCGTTCGTTGAACACCATTAGTGTGGTCAGCATCTTAAAGGTCTCCAAAAATATCAGTTTCGGTGTATTTAATATTTTTATGAAAAAAAATTTCAAGTGATCGTCTACAATGTTTGCCTTGTCCTGATTTTCAGAAGTTCTTAGACTGAAAAAGTTGTACGCACCACTTCTGTTAGGTTGCGAGAACGCTTCTTACATCAGTGATTTTTCTAACCCATTTCAATCATGCTGAAGAGGATATATATATATATATATATATATATATATATGCACATATATGTATATATACGTATATATATATATAATCTTCTGACTCCATTGTAAGTAGTTGTCTACTGCGGTTGCATGAAAATATTTCTCTTCGTTTTTACTCAGTTGTAAGGTTTTCTATGCTAAAATTATTAACTTCGATGTGTTCTTTTATTTATTTATTACTTTATGTTCAATTGATATGGTTCGTTGCTTACTTTCCAGTTATTCTTGTTATGCAAACTGTACCTAACACATAACTGCGGTCTCATTTTCAGTTTAGTCTTTGTTGCCCTTGAAACAACCGTTGTAGTTGTTCTTCAACATTAGTGGAGGAGTATTTTACCCGTGTGTTTGTTTTTCATTTCCTAGCCTCTACTTTTCAACTTGTACATGTCGCAATGCGGTGTTGTGGAGGGGAGCCGCATCACAACGGGAAACGTTTCGTCTTTCAAAACCTCTATTTTTTTGTTCTACGTCATAGAATCATGAGAGAATGTGCAATACATGTCTGTATATCTGTTTCTCGTTTGGAATCTACAAACCTTTATTTTGCCTTAGTCGGTTGCTGTTTCACTCACAAGCTGTTGCACTCGTTGTCCTCATTTTTTTCGCCGTGAATCATTGATCACTTTCTTAATCAAAATTCTGTAATTATTCGATTGTAAAGGTGAATTTCGAATGTAACCTTAAAAACTGTACAAATAAGGCATATCATTGAATTTAAATCATGTACTAGACATTGTTTCTTGTTGTCATATATTACAAGTTCCAACATATTGCTAGCCTAGATATATGATTTTTTTCTTATTTTATTTTATTTGGCCCGTCTTCATGTTTACTGTGCGGATCCCAACACTTCTCACATCCAATTTGTTTCCTCGCATCCATTGTCCACGGAGGTCTTCGAATTCTTTACGTGTGGCTTCGGTTGCCGCTTGAGGATTTTCATTTCGTCTTGAATGTCGTAGAATGCTGGTTGAGCGATTTTCCCTGGATTCCTGAGATAGCCGGGCTGGAGCGTTTCTAATTGGATTGCTGAGGTGATTTTTATCCCAGACAACTCCGGTACCAATGCCTCAACCCCGGAGAGATGAGAGACCTGGTTGGCTCAGAGCGGAATCGAACTAGCACCATGTTCGTGATGACGGACGTCACTAGCACTGTGCTATCAGCCCCTGTAAATGTGATACTGCACACAAAGTCAATACCAGTTCACGGCCTTCTGGTCGTCAATGTCTAGTAGTGGTAATCGCTCTGGAGCTTTCGACAACTTTATGAACACTTCATTTTAAAATTCCATTTTAAATTAAAGTTATCATTTTTCTCTGCTTTGTATCAATGAATAACAAACTACTACATTAGTTTCAAAATTTTAACAATGGTGAGGCACCAACCAGTACTTGTAGTACTTAGTACCTATGCATAAAACATTATAGCTCTCCCACTTTTACTTCAAAATCTCCGTTATGTTTCTGTGTCGTATGCACGTTTAGTGAAGTATTTGGTTCAATTTAAATTTACTGACTAGATGTTCTTTTAAACAGACACAGAATGTTCTCCCCGTTTCCCCAACGTCTTTGTCCCCATATGCTTTACAAGAGATTAGGTGCACCGTACCCGAACTCAGGCAATCACCGTCTCCACTGTTAGAGCGCGTAGTGTATTTTTTCCCTGTACATAGACTGACACATCGGCACTTACGAACTAGCTGACGTGTTAGAATGTCTGATGGGATCTCTAAACCATGTGGGGACGAATACGTTGGCGAAGCGGGTAAGTGCTTGCTCCGTTCAAAACACCTAGTCGATAAATTTAAATTGAAACGAAACACTCCACTAGGCAGGCATACTTACTTGGATACTTGGATGGCCCATCCTTATTGATTTTGCTGGCTCTTGCATAGACCCCAGTTTTTCAAACATTTCTGGTTTAGCCATTGTGGTTCCCTCGAATCCCGTGGTCAGCATGGCTAAAGTCTGGCCCAGGTAATCACCACCACAGGTAGTCGCAGCCCTACTGGATCACAGGGAAATTTGCCACAATTCAACAAGTTTGATACCAGGACGGTGGTGGAACCTGGTATTCGTTTCCTCTTAACTATTCTTCCTGATGGAAACACCGGACTTTTTTTTAACCTAGGAGACCCTGCCAGGTAGATGAATTTCCCTGCTGTACATCGCAGCCCGAAACCCAGGAACACCTCCCAACCACGCTGAGGCGGTAAGCCGTTAGGGGGCAGGCATAAGAATGAAGAAGATTTTGAAATAAAACTCATAATCCTCGCACAAGAATTTAAATCACCAGCAGTAAAACTTTTGAAGCGTTCCGCATTAATTTTAGAGATGCAGAAATGAACCACAAGGAGAAGTGTCTTGTGATCACTCGTGGCCTAGCGCCATACCTCAGGCTGATTCAGTGACCTGACTCAGCCAAGTTCCTCACCCATACAAAACTCTGTGCAGCTGCTTTCCACCGATTAAACTGAGAGGCTTGCAACGAATAAAACGGTGGATGTTTAACAGAAACTGTTTATTATGCGAATGTAAACTAATGTGTGAACTCGCATCTGCTACTGTTATGAAGGTGTTTGGTTTAGCAGATTTCATGTCAATTTGACCTTTCCAGCCTTCGAGGAAGGTGAATCCTTCGAAACTTCAGCTGTTGTGCGTTGAAGAAAAAACAGTAGAACTCTGCTCATTTTTTTCTTGTACGCTTGGACTACTGCTTTTATGTTGCAGTTTGTTCGTCTTGTAAATAGGAAACGCAAGTGGAATCATACATACATTTCCACTATATAGCAAACGTAAAGTAACGTAATATCATGAAGTAATATAAAGTAACATGGCGGCATAAAGTTTTTTAGTTACTTTTACACCTTCGTATAAATCAGATATAGGATAACCTCGAGCTCACTTAGTGACGATGAATTTAATGATATTGATGACGCTGATGGAAAGACATGCTTGATAATGACTTGTGGCGTTACCTCTCTTATTTCACCACTCTGGAATATTTTTAGGAAACATGTCATTTAGTCGATGTTGTGTTGTGATGATGTTGAGTTGTGTGATGTAGCAAAACAGTGAAAGATTGACATTCACTATACAAAAGCCGTCATCGGAGTGTAATGTCGTTAGAATAACAAGTAGAACTAAATAGATTAATATTCGGTTCTCACGAACTACCGCTGTTGACCATACACGAGGTTTGTGTCAGTTCCTGTTGCTGCTGCGATTCGATGGCTGAAGTTTCGGCGTCTTCCCCCTCTTCAAAACCAATTTCTTGGGTATACGACCACACTTGTCTTGTTCACATGAGATGACGGTTTGATTAATAGCAAACAATGATTTTTTCTCAAAATAATGTATCGAATATTGTTTAGTTGCCGGCTTTTCGTGCATCCTATTTTTTTGCTATCCACAAAGGTCTTCGATCTTTCCAAGCGTGGTATTGGCTGCTTCTTGGTGATTTTCGTGTACTTTATGAATGTTACTGAACGCTGGTTGACCGATTTTTTTTTTGAATCCTGGGGTAGCGAGGCTAGAGAGTTCCTGCGAATGTGGTGGGACTGAACCAGTCCTTTCCACAAACTAAGTGACTCGTGAGGCTTGGTGGCATTTAAGCGGCGCTCGACCCAAAGCTGTGGTTGACCCGGCCTTGCTCCCAAGTCTGGGAATGCAATAACGTGGCCAAGCCTAAATCTTAAGCAGAATTATATTCCATCAACATCCGACATGTTGGTGTTCACTCATCAATCGAATGTTCAAAAAAATACAGCCACCTCCATAGATGCGCGTTGAAAGCCAAAAAAACGGATTGGAAAAGTGGTAAAGTCTACACCACATGCGACGACGAGGCACCCAAGTATTTTGTCGTTAACGTCACTATTGCGCAGTGATAGCTCGTTCTTCAGGAGAACGGTACTGGTTCAACTACGTCCATGGCTAAGCATGCAGCTCACTGCTCTGCAGCCAGGAGATTGCTACCAAACATGTATGGGAACATTTCACTTCCTCCAATCCTCGTGAAAATACCATAGCAAGGCTATCCTGCGATTTCCAAAGGGAATCGGGTGTCATCCAACAACATTGGTAACGATTAAATCTTTAAGCAGCAGCATAGGTCAAACGTTCAAAATTCGAAAACCTTCACCGAAGACTAGTGCGATGAAATGGAATGAGCATATCATGTAAAATAAAACAAAAAGTTGTACATTTAGTTTAAATGATGATTCATTTTCTATTTGTTTTTGCCTAGGTCTTTATATCTAAATAAAGCTGTGAAGTGCACTAAGAAATAAATAAGAAGTGAAGCAATCTGTAGCGTCAAATACGCATGTGTGTAAAGCACTTACACATTACCATCCACTCAAAGATGTTTGTAAACTAGTTGTGCGTGCAGTCGTCGACGGCGTAGTCTGGTTGGCCACGTTTCCATGTGTTTCAGTCGAAGATAGAAATCGTAGATAGCGCGAACAACGATTGATCCTTTGCTCAGTAGGCGCTGATCATGCCTATCTATTTGTCTATTCACTGACACCACATCCAGGGTCCAAGGATCCAGAACTTTTTGAAAAATTTTTCCTATTTAATAAAGCGGAGGACTCCGCCAAGCTATAAACATGCACTTTGAACCTACGAAAGTGTGTTTGATAGTCGTAGTAAACTTTAAATAGAAGCGAGTAATTCTAAAAGTGCCATGTAAAGAGCTGTCTCTGTATCCACTATTGTAAGCTTTTGCTACCATGTGAATATTTCAGATGGAATTATCTATCTCCAATCTCTTTGCTATGTACACATCAAATCTGCTCTGGAGTCTTTTTCTTACATCGACGGCGCTGCACGCTGTAGCTCTCATCACGAGCCCTATGTTGGTGAATTCGCAAAAAGTAATGCTTTAAAAAAATGATAGGCCTACTTCAAAATTTTACTAAACGAAAAGCCCTGCATTTGAACATTAAGGTGCTTGAAAGAATTTCTTTAGTTTAGCGGCTGGCATCTAAGTGTTAGGGACCGCAATGTTTGATTCAAAAAACATTTTCTACTGAAATTCGCATGAAAAGTCAAACCAGTATTGAATTAAACCATTTTGTGCCTAACATGTGTGCCTTCTGGTGTCAAATGATTTCCAGTAGCACAAATGTCCATTCTATAGATTGCTGCTTATTAGGAGCAGGTATCCTCTATGCTTATAATTGAAACGTTGCCCTGTCATGTAATTATTTTATGGAAAATGGAAACTGCTTTCAGGCAAGCTGTTTTGAAATGGTATCGTCGTCAGAGCAGCGACAGTGACACGTGTTTGCCATATCTCTGCGCTGTTATCGGGTGAGAATTACAGATTCTACCTATGAAAAATCGCCATAGTTATTGCAGCACGTCAAAGTAAAACTATGCGGATTTCTGTAAAAGCTAGGGTCATACATACTAAGTGAGCTGGATAAACATGGACAAATAAATAGATTAGGTCTGGATTATGGCTGCGATATTCCGTCTTCATACAAGATACCAAACTGATTCTGCTTCAGTCCTATGCTGTCACTATGCAGAGCTTTTTCCTGTTCGCACTTATATTCTACCGTTCTAAGAAGGTGTGATTTACAACATTAAGACTGGTAAAATTATCGGCTATCGAGCACTTAACGACTGAGATCAGTTTCAGCGGCGACTGATACGTCTCGTCCTTTTTATTGCAGTTTTTCTTTTCATTGTTTTCTACTACATTCAGTGCATGAATGAAGACGATGGAAAAGAGGTAATACGAAAAAGGTAACAACTAAAAAAATATTTTTACATAAAATCATTGCTAGAGGAGATAAGAAGTTTGGAAAACTTTTCTTTCAGCTCAAACGCCTTTAAATCTAGAATTGAGACAAAATTTAATAGCTTTGTCATTTATTTTTAATTTTCGACTTGACAGATAACGGTAGAAAAGGTAGTTAATGTGATATCCGTCCTAATGGCCACCTTGGAATTTCTGTTCGAAGTCAGTGAAGGGAATGCGCACTCCTAGAGTACATTTTCTATGACGTGCATTACAGACATCAACTCTTAACCCATATTTTTCGACTTTAATTGATAGCGAAAGTTTTGCTAACAGACATGGTATCCTGCAATCACTTGCGTAAAGAGAAGAGATCTAGAAGAGCTCTTATGATATACTTTCATTGTTGGTTAAGCATTTCTGAGTAGTTACTTACCCTTGATTTCCCTCACATAGCACCGCAGTGGCCTTTGTTCTTTCCAATATTTTAATTTAAAATGATTTCTCACAGTCAAAGTCGAAAATGCCTTTCTGTAAGAGTTGGTTCTTCTCCATTGCAGACTACTGGTAGGATTGCTTCTGCGGCACAAATAGCCGGTTCGCTTGTGTGTCCATACCTAATCGTAAGCGTTCTTTTTGTTAGACATAGTTGCTATCGCTATGATTAAGTAGCTGTTTGTCATTTATATCTACGTGAAAATCCATCCACATTTACACATTAGAAGTATTTTTAGCTTGATATTTCAGCCTCTATGTAAAATTTATTGAGACTAGTCAAATTTAAAACGGAGTGTAAAACTCGCCTGCATTTTTGTAACATACTGTTTAAGTATAAAGCAGTCACGTCGAGATGCGTTGACTTCGTTCCACTGGCTCCTGTTGCTTTTACATGGATTATGGAGTTGCATGCGATCATATACAGCATTGGAATCGATGATTTCTACATGCTGGTAAGGATTTTCTTTAGAAACATCGCTCTTAGCATACTTTTTGTTGATTAGTGTAAAGCATTCTGGAGTAAATCCACCACTTCTATTTTTGGAAACGCGTATGATCTGGTAATTAAGCATGCTTTGTTCCGAAACTATGTGAGACAGAAGTGCCACTTGTAATAAGTATTCTGTCATTCCTATTCTGAGATATCATTTTCTTAAAATCGTGTGCAGTAAAAAAATTAACTGTTGAAGCCAATAATAAACAACGTTTTAGTTGGCGAACACAATTTTCTTCTGCATGGATGGATCTCTTTTGTCCATGTTTTTCATTTTTCCTAACGAAAAACCACACTACTGCAAGGTGGAGATCTCTTGATGTTGTTTCGCCGGTTGTGATTTGTTGCATAGCTGTCCTGTGTGACTACCAATTTTGTACGTTTCCACATAGCATTTATTTGAAAACACGCCTTGTAAAAAAAAGTTGTTTGGATTAGTTCCGCTCCCGTTTATCCACAACAAGTTAAAGGTGATCATTGAAAAAGAAATTCCGAAGGTCAATAGGGAATTCTACTATTCGTTACAATGTTGAAAGTTCCTATCTATCAATTACATAGCGAAAAGGAAGGTATTTTCGAGATCAGGTTGGATGGTAGTCAAGTGGTACTATGCAACTACACATCCAGAGAGTACAGATGTAGCAAATGTAAAGATGAATAACAATAGTCCAAAGCTGTTGATGTATAGGGCAAATGAAATACTCGATTACCCTAATTTACTTTTTTTTAAAATTTACTACTAATGCACTTTTCAACCTAAGGCCACTTCAATGACTTGAGTAAGAACATTCCCCATTTTCCTTACTAAAAATAGTGTGCGTTTCATCGGGGAGTGTCAAAAATGACGCTCTAACAAGGGCTTAATTGACCGATTCTCGAAATCAGCTTTCTTCGGTTGCTGCATTCATAAATAGGCGGGTATATAGTGAATTTTCCGCGCTTGTGACCATAAGAGGAATTCACTCGTTTTCAAATCGCATATTGTTCCCATTTTGTTTTGGAATGATTGTTTTATAATCCTCTATAAATGCTTCGTTGACTGGTTTGATTCGTTGCTAGAACAATATAAGACCGTAAATAAGTGTGTGCATAACATCTGATGAGTGTCACAAGCGTGTCAGTTTAATGTTGGATTTACAGAAACAAACAAAACTGTTACATGTGAAAAAGACTGAACTATCGGATGTTATGATCACTGGGGATGCGCAAGTATTTTGTACCCGGAATGCTCATCATTGGGAAAGAATCGAGCATTAAGAAAGAATTTGAAAAACGAATTCTTCGAAAACAAAAATCTCATAGAAGATAGTGGAAAATGCTTCGAGGCCCTGAACAAACAGTGCACATACTGCTCTTCGTAAATTCGCAAAGCCTAAACTGAGTCGTTGGTGATTCGTTTAAGCGTAAAAACAGGTGGATTATTCCCCAATGCCAACGTTCTTTAATACATATTATGACAAAAAAAAGGCATTCCACGAAATACTGCATGTAATTTGAAAGGAATCAACAACCTTAAGTATAGCGCGTGTTGTTCAAACTTTCAGATCCCATTCCAGAGGCATGATAGTCAGTGCACACGTCATACACTTCTTCGTTACTTAATCGCATCACACAAGTTATTTCCCCCGTAAATAATTGTCACACGATTCTAACCGACAAGTTATTACAAAGGGAAAGTGAAGGATAGCCATATAAAGTGCACTGTATTACAGGAACCAATAATGATAGTATCCTACTTTCACCTAAATTATACAGTTTACGAGCACTTATGAATGGTAGATGGAAATAAAGAACGAATACAATCTCATTGGTGCCAAGAGAAATTAGTGAGGTTGTCTTCTTGCGCAATCTTTTGCATGTGTTCCCGGAAAGCTTCACACTTGATCAGCACCTCCACTGGAATGGCTATCATGCTCATGTATAACGGCCAGCTTTTCTACTGGAGCTTCAGCAACGACGTTTCTCCGAGTGGAATCCCTATGCGACGTCCCATCATCAACCTGGAAACGTTTGTACCATTTAATTCAACATAAAAGGACAGTGGTTTGTATTACAAATTTAGGCGGTTATGAACTTTCTCGTTCTCCCACTTTCTCACTCACGCCATCTCCTATCTCACTCCGTTTTTCTTCGCTCTTACTCATTCAGTCCCCTTTTCTTCATCCTCCTCCGTCTTATTCCTATCCTCACTTTCTCTCCCCTCTCTTTTCTTCATTTGTCTCATTCTCTGCACCATATTCTCCTTTTTTTCTTCTATTTTTTCCTCCCTTGCTTCTTTTCTCCCCCTATCGCTCTCTATCTTTCTTACGTGTTTTGTCTCTGCGATTCTGTCTTGTACGACCACTAGACCGTAAGATGAAATAGCTGTGCACCAAAATTTTCTGTATGATCGCTCATTACACTGGTGAATTGTTGCATAATTCTAATATTTCTTACACTACTGCTTCTTTGGAGGGAACCATTTCTCCCGCGAATGGTGGAGTTCTTTGTAGATCTGGAAGCATCAGAATTTAACCAATTCACAATTTAGCTTGTTATTTACTGCCTACTCTTTTAATGGAAAGGTACGCTGCGAAATACAACTTCAATGATGCTGAGATATTTGCAGAGCTAGCAGAGTAGGGAGCCCAAATCATGAGCATAATAAGTTAAAATTGTGATTATAACTACAACTTCAGCCTAATTGAGTTCATTGTCGATTTGGGCTCTCCAGATCAATCCTGTTGACGGGTGATTGCTCTTGGCAAAAAGATCGATTGAACTAGCTGAGAGACAGGTGAAACAAGGACCCTCATGGTGTGATGATAAACGCGTTAGCCCCTGGAAAGGGTAAAAGTTGGTGCATTCGTTCCTCACCACAGACACCTACGGTCCGGAGTTCTGCAAATATCTCAGCATAATTGAAGTTAACCAAGTCGCTTGAAAAGCTTCTGATTTTCAGTTTTCTCGCTAAATTGCAATGATGTGCACAAATCCATTACCTCGTATAGAAAGAAATCGGTGTGGTTGGTTGGCCTTTGACTCTCGGTGGTCTAGAAATTTTTTTGCATGTAATAACGTGCACGCAAATCTGGCGTATATCAGGATTAATTAAGCAGTAAAAATAGAAATTAAGAGCAAATTTCGTAAATTCGAGAAGATTGGTAACCGCCCGGAAAATCTGGAATTTTCTTAGTTTTGTGAAAAGTCCTGTAACGAATAATTCAAAGATGTTCTATGTAAACTAGCTATAAACGAACTTGAAAGGGTAAGTTGTTCGATTTGCTATCGGCTACGAGTATCGTCATAGGTGCAGCAGGAATTGTACACAGAAAGAAAACAATAATGATGGCGAATAGTAAGACAAACAATCGTTTTTCCTCCTATAATGGAGCCTCATTAAATAAACAGAAATGGAGGCGTGCAATCCCCTCCTCCCATGGAAAAAATAGAATTAAGCTCACTTTCTCACTCTTTTCGTAGACAAAGTGTTTTTGCGAATTGGCTAGCCTTTGCATTCGATCATTCTTGGTGTTTCTAAAAGTAGAACTAAAGGAAGTAAAGAAACCCTAGACAGGGCCAGAATCATAATTGAAATCCGACGACCGAATTACTGATAGCTTATTATTAGCAAAGCATAAAAATGATTGAAACCACGTGTCTGGAACTACTTGTTACGAGCTTTTTGTAATACTAGTATTGAATGGAAGAAAACCGACCTGTAGGTGACAAGAATTTTAACATTCATGTAAGCCAGGAGAAAGAACGGAAATATTCGACTGATTAGTTCTCGTGTTGCCTCGTATATCACAAACCAATCAGCTCTACGAGTATCACAAACGATATAGGGGCATACATTTTCGGGAATTGCTACCTACAGAACGGTATAATTCTCATTTAAAAACATTGCCAAAACATCACTTTATTTTCTCACCTCTCCTATGATTTTTTTGAGATCATGCACCTCTTTCTTCACAGCCCATGGTGCATAAATGGAGAAATTGAAGACATAGGCCAGAGTGAAAAGAATGAAACAAACTTTTCGAGACCTGCAGCAGAACTCATAGTACTATATAATAAAAATTTCAATAAAAACATATGGTATATACCGGAGTCCGTAAGCGAAGGGGCGACACACAGCCATATACTGTGATAAAGTAAGGAACACCACTATCCATACCGATGACCCCATCAACGCGTTAGCCTGAAACCATCCTCACGCTGACAATATATTTGCTACGTGCAGTGCACTAATGCGGCTTAAATGTAACAGCTCTCAGAACCGACTTTCTAGTAGCTTTGGCACTGTTTAAATAATAGTGGTTTTACTGCTGTGCAGACACAAGGTTGTCAATAACAAGATTTCCTCAATACTGGTTTATATTTCGGAGGTTTCGCCTTCCTAATGGCATGGAAAGTTCGAAATTGCATGAGATCTATTAAGCCAAACACTTTTGTAACCTCAACAGGAAAAACTCAACACATAAATTTCATTCTTGTGGCAAACATTCGTTTCTTTAAACAGTCACCGTTTTATGTGAAATGCAATCACAAGAATGTTCAGATATTAGTAAACCTAGGAACATCAAGTGGGCTTCAAACACATGTTCATCCTTTCCACTGGCTCACACGTTATCCCCTACACCAACCGACGCCCATGTCTGCGTTTCCCTTGGCCATTTTTTAAAACTCTAACCGTGCAATCAGCAATCACCCATCAACGGGAATGGTGTGGGGACCGCAATTCGGCATTGAACCCAATTAAGCTGAGGATGTGGTCGAAATCACAATGTCTAACTTCTAGTTGCTGCCTATTCATGGGCCATTCTGACCGCAATGACGGAGTAAAAACTTGGCTGGAAGAAAGGAAAAGTAAGAGTCCAGACTGGGGCAGTGGATAGCACGTGAGGCAGTGGAAAGGACAAGCATTTGTTTGAAGCCCATCTGATGCTCCTAGTTTTGCTGATATCTCAGCATCCTTGTGCTTGTATTTAACAAAATACCCTCTTATGAAAAAGACAATATGCAATAAGTAGAAGTTAAGTAGAAGTCGTGAACTCACCATCGTGTTTTTTAAAGGTCTTCGAGTTATTGCTGGAAACCAGCTGTGCAGAGTCTTCCAAATGAGAGGAATGTGCTTCACTCAGGCCAAAAATAAGCCTGAGGTACTGCAAGAGGTCACACCTGATAACAATGCATTCATTCTTGCGGCTCATTTTCAGATTTTATGAATCCATGGCCAACAGGCGCGTGTGGCGCAATGGTTGGAGGCGCCACTGCGACACACGTGGAATCGATTCCTGTTCCCATGGCCCACCAAGCCTTCCATTTCTCCGGGATCGCCAAGTTGGTACCAGATTTGTCTGAGAAGATAGCAGCACTGGCTCGATACATCAGTAGGCCACCGCGAGTCATTGTAAAGGCCAGATATGCATTCAATCATCTCCAGCGATACCTAATGAAGTCGAATGCATGGCGCATCCCTCAGGGATCGATCAACGCCGAAAGCTTCATTATTTTTATGAATTTATCGAAAATACTATTGCGCTCTGATGTTTTATATTCCTGTGCCGATGGTAACTTTTACTTATAAACATTCCTCGTTATGTCTTTGTGCCCTATGTGCTCACAATGGAGTGCTTTATTTAACTTTATGTTTAGCGTCTACGTGTTGCTTTACACGGACACAGAGTGCCCAATCCGTTTTGCTAGTGTATTTATTCCACACCCTTTAAAAAGGTACACTATAACCAAACTCATGCAATCATCTCCTTTACCATTAGCACTAACCAAGCAATTCATCTTTGTGCACAGGCAGTCATAGAAGCGCTTGCAACGAACTGACGACGTAGAGCGTTTCGTGGCAGTTCACTCACTACACTAATTTATCTGAACTGACTTTTTTAAAGCATCGCTTTGTACCCGTACTTGCTTCGTTGGAGATAACAAGTAGGTTAAACGGGAGCTTTTTTCGCCAGACTGGTCGTTTGGTGGTGTGATATTTCCTCCCAACCTATCCCAATCAGCTAGCATTTCGAAGTCATTGGAAATAACTATTTGCTGTTCAAAGTTCGCTCTAGGAGAGATGTAAGTGACGAAACATGAGTCAGTGCTGTGGAGTGAAATGTCCAAAAGATGAACGCAAATCATAGACGGCCAGGCCATCTACTACTTCCAGATAAATTATCCCACAAGGGCAACAACTAATCACAGGACAATTTTGTGCCCTGCTTTTACATGACATGTGAAACGGAAACTTTTTCGAAGAAAAAAGAAAGAGAGAATTTGACGTTATTAAAAGATGAAAACATATATTAGCTCATTAGCATTACTGCCACCAATTACTGTGGTATCGCTACGTTTCTCATTATTATTTATTCATTTAATTATGGCATTATTATGATGTCAAGGTTGCGGTTAGCGCAGTGGTTAGAGGTGCACTGAAATACACGCGTGATCTTTGGTTCGATTCCTCACTCCTGGCTCAACAGGTCTTTGATCCTTTTGGGGTCGGCAAATTGGTACCGAGTATGTCTGGGAGGATGGCAGCACTGAATTGGTATATCGGTAGGCCACCGAAAGTCGCTGCATAGGCGAGAATTTCATCTAGTGAGCTCAAACGATGCTTGACGAAGTCGAATTAATGGTGCATTCATCAGCTTATATTATTATCACCGTGGAACTTATTATTACGATATCGGTAGTGACGCAGTGCATCAGGAAACAAGAGGCTGGTTGGAAGCCTTCTTCAACGCCCTCCTTCAACCTAAGCCGATCGCCTCAGCTTGGCTACCTCAAAAAATGCAAGCAGAACCGGCCCGACCAGCATTCTTCGATGTAAAGAAGGTGGAATCCAAATCATCTCAAATGTTTAAAGACCTTTGTGGACGATAAATGCGAGGGAAGTAAGTAGAATGCAAGAAGTGCTGGGATCCACTCAGTATAAGTGACGACGTGTCGTGTATTAGGTTGTTCAGAAATAAATGAGCGTTGTTAAGTTTATTATTATAAATGTCGTAACTTGATTCAAGCAAAACCTTATTATCAAAACAGAAACTATTTAAATTAACACATGTTTACCAACGAGAAACAAATTTATTAGTTCCAGTTCCATAAAATTCTGGAATTCTGGAAAGATGAATTCGTTGAAGTCATTTTTTGCGTAATCGTGGTTGGTGAAGCATTTCTTGCAGAAAGGTGCTTGAAGAAGTGATGGTCGGTAGCCGAGAGGTCAGGTGAATATGGAGGATGGGGCAAAGTTTCGTAGCCCAACTCTTTCAACTTCTTCAATGTTGGTTCCACAACGTGAGGCCGAGCGTTGTCATAAAAAAGAATAGGCCCTTTACTGTTTACCAACGTTGGTCGTTGTTGTTGGAATTTGCGGTGCATTTCGTCCATTTGTTGGCAATACTTCTCTGCCGTAATCGTTTCGTACGGATTCAAAAAGCTGTGATCGTCTCGGCTGCAGACCACCAAACAGTCACCATAACCTTTTTTGGTTTCGGCTTTGAATTTTCGGAATTTCGGCTTTGAGAAATGCTGCGGAGCCTGATCGCAATCCAACCATCGTCGGTTGTCCTACAATCTACATGCTGTCGCACGTCACAATTCGATCATGAAAGGAGTTGTTTTCCTTGAGCAGAATAAGAACAGACGACGCTTCAAGACGGCGAATTTTTTGATTATCGTTTGATTCGTGCGGCACTCACTTGTCGAGTTCTTTTGTCTTTCCTGTGCGATTGAAGCGAGTGGAAATTGTTCCTGTGCCTACTCCACGTTTTAGTACAAGGTCTCGAACAGTTGTTCGCGTGTTTGATACCACTAGTGTCTTCAATTCGTCGTCGTCAAGTTCATTGTGACGTCCGCGGCCTTCATTATCTTCGATGTCGAAATCACCAGACCGGAATTTCCGGAAGCTTGTTCACACTGCTGAGTCACCAACACTACATTCACCACAAGCTTCATTAATGTTGCGAGCCGTCTCTGCTGCACTACGATCGAGTTTGAGCTCATAAAAGAAAATTTGACGAAAACTCGTTTTTGACATCTAAAATCGCAAAGCCCAAGAACGGCAAAAAATATAACTTTTGACAAAATATAAACATAGTGTTAGAAAGAGCATGAAGTCACCTTTCAATATTGCAAGATGCAAAGTGTATTTTTTTGTTAAAAATGCACTAAGACAATAAATATTTTGAAACACCTATTTATTTCTGAACAACCTAATAAAAATATTAATGATAAGTTCATCATTATGTATTATTATCCAGTGATCGCTCTATGTCGTTGGCCAGTTCGTAACGGCTTGTATGACCGCCTATGTAGAACGCAAAACTGCGTGATTTACGCTAACGGTAGGCACGGTTATTGAATGAGCTCGGGTATGACGTAACTGATCGTTTGTAAAGCGTGCGGGGTGAATACATTGGGAAAATAGATAGACCATTGTTTAAAGAACACCCAGAAGTAAACATAGAGTCAATGAAAATACTCCACTAGGCACGAGTAGGACATAGAGACGCAACGCAGAAGATTTTAAAGTGAAAGTCACCATCGTCGAGCAGGAATCTAAAACATTACCGCGTGGTACTCTTGTAGCGTTTAGACAAATCTAAAAAATCCAAAAATGAATGACAACAAAGGGTGCAATGTGATCACGTGTGACGTAGCCCCATGCCTCAGGCTAATGTGTCGTGTCGCTAGCCAGGCATATTCTTTGCCCATTTAAAACTCTGTGCAGCTGGTTCAACCAAATAACTAAACGTTTATGAAGAACAAGAGGTGATTGTTTGAAAAAACTGCTTACTATAAGAATTAAAATATTGTAATGAGTCTTTTTTCCGCTGGGGTTGTGAAAGTGTTTGATGAGTAGACTGCGTGTCAACTTGACCATCGCAGCTCTAAGGAAGGCGAAACTGCCGAGTCTTCAAGCAGTATTTAATAAATCTTGTTATTGGTGACCCTCGATTAATTAGCAATAAATTCACTCTCCCGTAAATCGAAAAAAGACGGACCGGGTAGCACAGTGGTAGTGATGCCGCTTACCAAGAACACGGTGCTGGTTCGATTTATCCCACGGTTCACTCTGCCTGTCCTCCTTCCGTGGCCGAGAAATTAGCGCCGAGTTTGTCTGAGACAGACTCACTCTCTTTTCCTAGTACGGTTATGAAGATTCAAAGGAGAATCGACTGGACCAGCATTCGAAAAAATTCATTAAGAAAACGAAGAATCCTCAACCAGCAGCCGATCCTACACGTAGCGGTAGAAGACGTTCATGGATGATATATACGAGGAAAAAAATGGAATTAAAGTGATGCTGGGATCAGTACAGTAAATGTGAAAACGGGTCATGTAAGGAAAAAAATTGAAGCAAGAAGTAACATCGGAAAATTATCTGATCTTGCTTGCAAGAAATTCCCTTCACCTTTTGTGAAACGCTGATGGTCGTTTTGGAATGTGCGAGCCTGTGTAATATTACAATTACATCCCACTAGTACAATATCTAATTTTTGCTATAGAAAATATTATTAAACACGTCACGGGAAACTAGAGTTACTATGCACATTTTCTTACTTCACTTCATTATTTTTTGCCAAGAATAAGCACTTGCAAGTGAGACACGTTCTTTGTTTTCGCTACAGCTTAACCCTTAATTTCATGAAGCAATATATATATATATATATATATATATATATAGAGAGAGAGAGAGACTATTTTCATACCCTCGTGTTTAAATGATTCTCAATTTCTCTGAGCTTTANAAGAAATATATATATATATATATATATATATATATAGAGAGAGAGAGAGACTATTTTCATACCCTCGTGTTTAAATGATTCTCAATTTCTCTGAGCTTTAGCAGCATTTTCTTGAGAGAACGATTTGTCGAGCGATAGTCATCGCTTCAAATTGAATCAGGGGCAATGGCAAGTCGGTCTCGAGAGAGCGCGCAAGCAAGTGAGTGAAGTCAAGTGCGCAGCTCATGTCTGGCAAATCATTGCTTCTGGATGGCTACACTCTTCTATACCGCGAAAACAACATTCTGTTGCAGCAAATCAAGCTAGTATCGATCAGAAGCTTCGCATTTTGCTCGCGCTCGTCGAGGTACTGTTTCAAAAAGGCAGCACAGTTATGGCTGAAAGTTATTGTTTTCAAGTTGTGGTTAAGACACACTTACCAGTGGAAATCCGATATGAGCGTAGTAGAACGATGCTGCTGAAGAGCAGGCGCGTACGTCAAGCAGCCACATAATCATGGGAATTACAGAGAAGTGCGTTAACTGAAGCACTAAATCTATCAGCAGAAATGTCCCAGAAGATAAACGTGTGCGAAAGTTTGCAAAATGTTTGAAGTGTTATGATAACTAGCAGCTGATCATGAAGAGATTGCTGTTAAATGTTAATCTCGGAGGAGTCTCGAAATATGTTTTCACTTTTTAGAGCATGAAAATCGTCACATCTACTTCTGTTTCGAGATACCGAGGTAGTTCTGTTTTGCTGTCCTCTTTGCTTCTGTAGTGGTGTGGAATTTAATGCTGGATTAAAAATATAACAAACACAATGTAAAGTGATTAGATCATCGCCTACACGTCAAATCGTTTCTACACGTGTACAGAACGATTGCGTGAGAAGCTAGTTTTTCCACTATCTCGACATAGGGTTGCAAACTGCATAGCTAAAGCCAGTTATCACAGTTTAGTCGTGACTCCGTAGATAAAACGCAAATATTCATGGCGATCTCTTCCAAAGCTGAAGTTCCGTAGAAGATTCGAGGTTCTCGGCAAAAAATGTATGAGGACTCGCAACCTATCGAGATATTGCTAGGTCTCAATGTATGGTCAAAACAGTAGGCGCCAGTTCTCCCTTAAATTGGGAAAGAAATAAACTTTACAACCATAATAAATAAGTTTAGGTTCGTGTGATGCACAAAGTTTTGGAATTCAGGAAAGTAAGCACATACCGGATCAGGAGATAAGTATTTTATCATTACAACCAACATGTTGATGAGCATTTCTTATTAATGGATGAAATTTACCTGCTGTCTTTCATATCTGTATGAAGAACGTAAAGATATACAGATTAGTTATGAAGCGCCTACGGTCACAGGAAGAGTATATACGACAGACATCTTCCCATCACGAAATTCTCGGATTTGGGTATTACACGCTCTGTGTTTAGAATGAAAGCATCATGGAAATGATAAACGAATTTCACCTTTAAACCACGGAATATTTTGGGAAAGGAGAGATACAGCAGGCTCCTCACTGGTACGCTAGAATGTGCATGACAGCATAAAGTGCCATAAACCTAGTTAAATAGGGAGGAATATCTTCTATGCGTAACAGAGTATGCTTACTCGCTGTGACTCACTTTTCCATTGCTCGTTTGAAATCTCCCAGTTTACGAGAAGAAACACTCACAAGGTCAGTCATAGCCAGCAATGTTAAGTAGTTGTAAATGATGGTACTCTTCCTCAAGAGCGGATGAGTGAGGGTTACCACCGTGAGAATATCGCCAACGATCCCACAAGTGATAATCACTGGTGCTATATACGCATATGTGATCTGAAACCACCTTATTCACAAGACTTTTAGACAGTTAAATTACTTCATATGAAGCATAAAAAACTCGTTTAAACAAAGCGCAGTTTACAGAAGACTTACTTTATCGTCATTATTGAGAAAATCAGGCGATTCGCCGCCTACTTTTAGTCTAAAAAATGAAGGCGCAAAATATTTCTATTTTGCTAGGACTATTTGTTTGAGCTTGCCTTGAAAACTACTAGTGTTTACAGGGTGCAGTTGATGACAAATTTATATAGAATCTTTTTTTTTCAGTGTTTGCTATACCTCAGAAGAAAAAATCACTATAAGAATCAGTTTTATCTAACTATGAAAGTATGCATAAGTTTTGCAAGAAAGGGATAAAAATACTGGCCGTTAATTGGTAATAAATATTTTGTTTAGCACGAAGACTAGAAAATAATTAAGGCCTCTAGGTTTTCCTTTTTCTTAACACTATCAGATTCTGTCAGTATTACAGCAGCTGACAGACAGAAGTCGACCTAAGCGACGCGTATTGTCGGTTACTGAAGCATTACATGCTCACTAGGACCTAGATCAGGAATACTGGCAGGTGATAAGATGCCGTTACTTTAAGGGTTTTTTACTGCTAGTCATTAGTTTTACTGATTTTCAGCTGTATGTGCGATTATTCGGAATGAGTATGAGAAAAAAAAGCTTACTCTATTTAGCTTGGAGGTCGGCACATCACGACAGGTATCCCGCAACTCTGAGTGCCAATCTACCGTCGCATTTGAATTGATCAGGGTGCAAATGTGATGATATGACATTTTGTTCAATGAGCAATATTAAAGCGCATTTCGACGGCTAATATAGCTCTCGAAGAAACAGCAATGAAGAGGTAATGAAAGAATTCGGAAAATGCAGCTAGAAACGAGAATTCTACAGCACTGTGTTGGTGCCTGAAATTATAATAGAGGTTTTCTACAAAAGCAAACAAAATAAATATTTCAAAGAAACCCATTCAAAACGGCTTTTTCATTCATGACACATATCGTGATTTTCATTTAGTGACCATAGCGGTCAATGTAGGAAAAGTCAGAAATAAATCGTTAGCAAGAATAGTTAGATTATGGGTTCGGTCTTTCGGTAAAGACGGTTAGTTTGGTGCTTTCAAATAAGAAGGAAATTAGAGACATTGGATTAACCTTGGTGTTATAAAAAAGTACATCGACGACATAGAAAGGCTAGAGAAAAGAAGGCATTAGTTAGAATGAGATGCAAGTGCACTAAGAAGGGTGGACGATTTAGTTATTTAACTTCGTCCACTTGAACAACACTTTAGCGTAGTAAGAATGTCGCATACTATAGACGAAACACTGATTTATGCCAGTTCCCATTGAAAAGAAAACTCGTCGACAACCCTAACACTGTCGCAAAACGTACATAAAGAACAAGTTCCTGCGAAAATACTGAAGCCTTTTAATCTAACACGTCTCAGTGCCCTTGTTTTAAAGGAAGCTATGTGGGAAGAAAAGAATGACGACATCGACGAGTCCATTTTTACACATGAGAGGTAAGGAGACAATTTGAAAGCATTAGAAGAAAAAAGTGGGCAATCTGCAATGCGGTTGTTTTTAATCCTTGCATATCTTGCTCTGGTAAATGTACACAATAAGGATCTAATTTTTAGCGGAAAACGTTAATGTAGTTGTTATGGCGTTTAGAATCATGCTGCAAAACTTCTTAACCTCTGAAAGTAGGTAGCTTCTGCGAAGGAGCGGAAAGTGTATGGAAAGTAGTGAAGTCTTCCAGTGTGCAAAAAATGTTACGACTTAAAAAAATGCAATAAAAGATGCTTAGAAAACCCACTAGAAGAAAAAAACGGCTTTATGGTGAATTACTGCAGTTTGATGAATAACACGGAGACGTTATCAAGGGTGTGACGACGTAAGGCAATCTGCACAAGAAATGTTGAGATCCGATGCCAATCTCGTTTGCCGTGTGACCTACAACACTGTGATTTCGTCGTTGTAATGACAAAGTCAGGATTTTATCAAAATAAAATCAACCAGTCAACAATTCTTTTCCTACTGTGTGCTTCTCTACTCACGCACCAGTTTAGAAATATCATAAAGAAATAGATGTAAGAAAGACTTGAATAATAGCTCGTAAAAGTAAACGGGTTTTTGATTCCAGTTCTCTATGTAGAAAATCAAGAATAGTAAGCAATTACTTAAACGAAAATCATCAGTGCGTGCATGATGAACTCAAAATCTTTTAAGAACAGTAGCGCTAAATGAATTGTAGCAGAGTTCTCACGTTGAAGCTGTGTCAATTGTGTTAGCAGAAAAAAGTTAGCGTTTAAAACTGCTGTCGAAAACAAATAGATGAAATTAGGAATGCGATTCGCAGTGGAAGAAATTGCTCTCGTTGGAAGGAAAGAGCAGTGCAGAATTCATGTCAATACTTATGATTGTGCTAAATACGTTAAAAATCAAAAGGATTGTTCGGTATACAGGTTCGCTTAAAAATTATCCGTGAACGATGCGGTATGAATACTACATTCTCCATACCACTTTAGAGACAGTGACTTTATCGATTCGTTACCTTTATGCCCCATTCACATGACCTAGACTAGGTATGAATCCCCAATTTTTTAGATAAAAGAGTCATATGTTTGCAAACGAAAAATCTACTACAGAAATGACGCTTTTATTTACTATTTTCTGAGCGTAACCGTCTACTTGTACGAGACCTTCATGTACTACTGTACAGTTACAAGTGCCCGGCATGAAAAGTCAAACCTCTCCACGGACATCCTATACCAAGATTGTACGTGCTACCAAAAACATCCAAAATTTGGTACCTCCAAACTCTTTTATTATTGTGGTATATTTCGGAAACAAATCCGTCCTCAGCACTTTTTGGATAGCTTGGGAGCTTATGGAGCTTACGGAGCATAGGACGAAGCTTGAGCAAAGCACGGTGTTCACGGGAGTGGTACCCTAATGCGCACGCAGCTGCAAGAATACCATTGCCCTTTTCATATCCTTCATTACTTCTCACTAATTAGAATAAATGGTCTAAAGGCTCTGGCACTCCTTGATTTACCTGGAAGATAACATTACCCACCAGTTCTCTCATATTTTAGAAAATAATGATAACGAAGTGGAACCAAAAGTGAGAAAACAATTAAGGGGTATACGTAAAGCAGTTATTGTTCCATAAATTGTTCAGAAACTCCCAAATAATACACAACTGGAATTCAGATTTAGAATATGGTGGTTTTCGAAGAGTTGTTTAACAGCGATTAGATCAATAATAGTTTAACATTATTGAAAATAAAGCAGCATAATGATAAAAGGATTATAGTGCAGTGCTAGACAAAGGTGGTACAAAACGCAGTTCCTTGGCCGCATTTTATTCCATGTTAACAAAATTAAGGTCTAGTTTCACTGATAAGCTGCACTATATACCCAGGCCTACAGAAAGCATGCCACTTCTATAAGAAAGCCAATTAAGGATAAACCACATTTAGGAATTGGGGTTACTCTGGAAGAACCTTTGTCGCAACACAGGAAAAATCCCTCTGATCCATGCAGTGGGGGCAAGCATTGGTGACACTTGAAAATGCCATCTCACTTGTTTCTGGTGGCCCAAAGGAAAGAATCATTTCGCTAAACCATCAACTATCACTTAAATGTAGGCCGTGAAGACCTTCTAAGTAAATGTGTTGAATAATCCTTGTTCACTGCCTTGCCATTCTTGAAGAAAAATGCTTCGTTCAAGGAATAGTATTTGATTAGCTAATTCGTCTGTCAGAATAAAAAAACGATGACATTTGGACGGTGTTTGATAAAAAAAGTGTTAATGACGTTATTAGGCGCTTTCCAAAAATGCAGTTTACAGTACATCACTGAACATACGCTATGTTAAGGAGGACGGAAGGTGGCGTAAGACACCATAAGAAAGAGATGTGTGTTGAAGGCGATAGGCAAAAGCGTCCGATAGGCAGCTGCTTGAATGGTAACGACGGAACTCGAGCAATGACACCGCCGCACGCGAGTGACGGCAATTTCGGCTAGGAGGTACTAGAGTTCTCCACTTGCTAGTACAGGTCCTTACCTCAGATAATCGTTCGCAAACTTCACGGCCTCCTGACTTGACACTACATCCCAGAAGCCGTCCGTTCCTACTATCAGAAACCTAAAATACAAATTCAATAGAACACATATGCAAATAAACCTGTAAATTTTTCACTCATAATACAAAGGAAGCTAGAAAATGGAGTGTTCATTCACTTGAGTGGATTGGAACCAAGGTCTATGCGAAGAACATCAGGATGTACTGTAAGAACTCCAAGCCTCTTTAACAATGTGTCTCCAAAGGACCTGCAACTGAACGCATTGCCAATAAAGTTCGAGTTAACCTAGCAAAGGCGAAAGTATTTTCATCTAACGAGGAACCAGATTTCACCAAATATCAGGGAATAAACACGGTAATTTGAAAATAGCGGTTTATAAATGAACAGGTGAAAAAGTATAGACCCTTCATACTGCACAGGAATAGTCTGTAGATGTGTCTGCAGGACAACACAAAACTTCGTAAAATTTCATTTTAGCTCTTCTTAAAAAGCGCCGATTCACCTGTGAAACCAGGACTGTAGCGCTCTAAATAGGAAATTGCATAGTGAAATATTCTCTGGAACTCGAAGGAGGCAAAGCAAGCAGTAAGCATGCATGATAGGGCGCTATTTACGCTCGTTATGTTTTTAGTTAAGCAAGCAGTAGAAAAAATGAAGAGACATAGATGTTCTGCTTTGCACTTTACCATTTATCCTCTGTCATTCTCAGAGACTAACAAGCTTTTGAAAGATTTCTGCTTCACGGTTTACCTCCGCACCTTCAAACCAATATTTTAGGTGTTCTAAATCATAACAATCACGTTCGCTCATACAATTTGATGCATATTCTATGAAGCTTAGGTTGAAAAGGTAACACGGCAGTTTTCATAAGAGGAAAATTGCACGCTTCCTTTCATTAAAATCAAACT